AAATAACAATGGGAAGATATAAGTAAACAATACCAAGTGAATATAAGTGAGAGCATGCTCATATTGGCAATCAGTCCTCAAATCACAATTTTTTCAGTTTAAGCTATGGCATGTCTGTTCAAATATGAAAACTGGACGCTAGTGTTATTTTTTAATTGCGCTTGGACCTCCCTTGGGGATACTGCCGTTCCAAAGCCTGGATAAAAGGAGGAAGGTTAGACATAAGGTTGTCGATCCCGTCCCATAGAAAACTAACTCCCTAAAAATACGCCAACTATAAAAATTATTTAAAGTTTGGACGACTGAATAATGAGTCTAAATATAATTAGTTGATTGACTAAATCAGGATGACTTCGAACAAACAATTTATCAAGACATTCAAAATTGAATACACTAGTCAGTTAACATTTCCATCACAATGAAAGAATTGGCTTGAATACAGTTAAACATTAACATTATTGAATACCGGTTAGCTCAATTGTCTAGAGGTTAAAGATTCGCTTATGAAACCGATGTTCCTGGTTTAGAATCCTGTTTGCGGAATAGTAGATGCACATTTCTTAAGAGTCTCATACTAGGACGAAACAATCGTTAAATGCTTCCACGTTTTCAATAGTAGTCTAACATCGATCGATTCATGACCTTAATGAAAGGAATAGATGAAAACATATTTGAATTCCTATTTTATTTTTGTATTATGTGAATAAAAGTGAATTGAGATGACAATTATTGAAAGAGAAATTAAGATGATCACGCAATGAAACGATTCATTTCCTTTGGTCAATTATCCATAACATACACTAATTGATAGATCTATTTATCTATCTATCTATGCAATTGATTAGTTTATAGAAAGAGGAATAACCAAACGAGGTCCAACCGGAAGTCGGTTGTTGTTGTTATTGTAATATAGAAATTGAATTAGTTCTCGCTTCTCTCTCTTTGTCTTTCATTCTCTTCCATTCAGTCTATATTTCAATGATTTAGAATGTAAATAATCACCATGTCCTCATTAGTCATTAGCTTCAAGATGAATTTTCTGGAGTCCTAATGAGAAGCAGTGACCAGTGGAGTTTAACCGAGTCTGCTGCGAGACAGTAACTCACTGATGACAATGGGTGGACAGTTTCCAAACTTTGTGGATTGGTTGAAGTTAGACATTAACACGGTTGGATGCGGACCGTCTAAGTGGTCTAGAGATTAAGCACTCACGCACTAACTCAAACCAATTCCAACCGAAAATCGATTGTTGCTAGTGTAACATAGAAATTGAATTATTTCATTTGAAACTTCCCCCTCTCCCTCTCTCTTTCATTCTCTTCCATTCAGTCTATATTTCAATGATTTAGAATGTAAATAATCATAAATATTTGTCTTTTTTCTGATGAGGAGTCAGATACTAGGACGAAACAATCTTTCAGTGATCCCGCCACATGAAATTCGAAACCAGGACCTATCAGTTACGTGAGCGAGCACTTAAATTCTAAACCAACCAGCATCCAAAGGTGTTAATGTCTAACTTCAACCAATTCATGATATTGCCCCACTGTCCATCATTGTCACCAAGGTGTTACTATCTCACGACAGTACCCTGTTGAACACCACTGATCACGGCTTCTCACTAGAACCCCAAGAAATCCATCTTGAAGACCATCACTACTGTACATATGATAATTATAATCAGAGAAGGGTTTTCTTTTTTGTGGATATTATAGTAATTCCCATAGTTGAGATCATGACTTCATTGAAGCTTATTTATAAAATTGAATACTAAACAACTAATTATACTCAAAACATTCATTACATAACTATCATCAAACTGTTAATACTAAAAAAAGTATCTTTTTTCATTATTTACCTATGGGAGTCATTAACTTTGTTACATATATGCATATATACTACTCATTTATGTAGTTAGTAGTTAATAAATCAAATGGGAATTGATAGTCTCATTAGTAAATGATGTTAACTATATAAAATCAATCATTTTTAAACATTATTTTCCTAAAAAATAGATATATATATATAAAAAATTTAGGTGAAAATTACTAACCGAAACAAACATGAAATTATGATTTCTACTTGATCTAATGATTAAATAATTTCAACACTTGAGATCATGAGTCAATGGAAGCTAAACCTGGGAGCCTGGTGCGAGACTGATAGGTCCTGGGTTTGAATCTCGCGAGTCGGGGTCGTGTGTGCGCACTGCTGAGGAGTCCCACAATAGGACAAGCGGCTGTTCACTGCTTTTAGGTTATCTATGATGGTATCGCTTCAATTGACTCATGATCGCAACTGTTGAAAATACTACAATCTCTACAAAAAACCACTTCTGAAGCTAAATATTTTCTTTTTTTGGAGGGGATAGAGGTTAGAATCCCGGAATGAACATCAACTCAGAAATGCAAGTATATTCAGCTGACGAATCACAAATAAAATTCGATTACTAGCCACTATCCATCTTTACTTATAAAGCTTGTGACTTGATGCAATATTGATAATGTAAGGGATGGACCTAAAGGAGCCAAAGAGTTTCCATCCAATCAGAACGTGATAGAGCTTTCTAGAATATCAACATGTTATGCTACGACTGGACAGTGGCATAATACGCCTCTTTGAGTATAGGCTGAATGATAATGATATTACAACAAACACTAATCTCTAATGCTGATGGTTTCCAGTCAACGGATATTCAATATCTTGCATACACAGTTGTTTATAGTTACTTATACCATTTTGATGATGATTGTAGTAGTTCTCCACGTTTTAGTTTCATACAGTAGAGGTGCCTTGACCTTATTATTAATAAAGATTGTGAACTTTGATATTAGTTGACAGTTCCTTTGAGTAACATATATTCTTCAACTGTAGGAATACTTTCCTTTGACATCTTTGCCATTACGTTTGCATTAAATCCTCCCTATTCATCTATGATGCTCCCTAGGTACATGCAACGTTCCATATCTTACGGAGTTTCTCCATCAAGTTTGATTATGTTACAGTTTTCCTTTTCTTGAATTTGAGGATATTGATTTCTGAAACCTACTGATGAAGTGACTACGTAGATATTCTTTAATTGAAACTACACAGACTAATCCATTCATCTAATGATAAATTTATTCTTACCCCCCCCCCAACTTCCCACTCTCCTCCTTCTCCGCCCCCCCCTAAGTTTTTGTTGGTTTTTAACTATTAGAAACAATCATATTGGTATTTAAGGATTCATTATGAAAACACGCAAACTTGTCAAGTTTCAATTCTTTAAATAAGCAACGACAACAACAACGAAGACAACAAAAAGAAGAAGATGAAGAAGAACCTCCTCCTCCAACTTTCATTTTACTCCACATGTGTATGAAAAATTCAAAAAGAAAGACGAAAAAAGAGAAGAAAATTGTCTGATTATTATTGAACAGAAGGATAAAAGGAATTAAATAAATGGAAATAAATGACTTATTATTAACCAAAATGAATTCTACATTGTGTACTATTGAATCAATCATGAAAGATAAAAGTGATTTCAAGATGATGGTATGGTGTATGCTACTGATATCGACTGATCGGTCAATCAGTCAACTACAACGTTGGTTTAGGCACATATATGCATTGGTCCAAGTTGCCATGCCTCATTCATTAACTCAACAACATGAACACCGGATTCATAGGAGTAGTTAAGTCAGTAGTGGTAATGATTTCATCTAAGGATATAGTACAGGAAGAAAGATTTAGTACGTAGAAAGAAAGATATGAAGTGATTTTAATCTCTTAGTTTAAGGGAAGACAGCGAATGTATACAACTACAACATTTTGATCGATTCTGAGCCATGTCACCCACAGTCTCAAACCACTGCTGGTTACGATAGTCACACGGCTCCCAACCAAGTGGTCTGCATGTATTAACATAAATCAGACTTGAATTTAGTGACGTTATGGACTGATACCACATTTTGGTTTGGCCGTGGCACAACCATCTCAGTTGATGAAGATTCACAACCTCATCAACTGACTTATCATCATTCCCTAATACCTTGCATCTAACCTCGCTGTTACTCATCTGATGATCTCAGCAGATGGGCGCAATATTTCTAATACATCTTAATCAAAAACTTAACAATATCCACAACCCCTAAACTGATGAAATATATATTCATTATCTATTATCCAATGAAATACGAGCTTTCTTGGAAATGTTCCATACATATACATATTCAGAAAGTCAGAATCATCAGTGAAGTTTCCAATTTACATTTTCATATTAACAAGCAATTACAATGAATGAATGCATCAACAATTAATCGTCAACAAGAACCCCACACCTCACCCCCCCCCCCCAAATGATTGATTTCATTATTCATAAAGGTTTATTAATTTATGGTATATTATTACAAGTAGCGTATTACTTAATTAAGTAATAAGAGAAGAAAAAGAAACACATTCAAAATAAGCATTAACATCCAATTTGAAGTTAATATAGACAGATATGAGTTAGTATGAGGATAGATGAATATCCAATCAAATCATTATTGATCCTAATGATAACAATAGTTGAGTAGTTGTCAATTAGATCTAAGTAGTTCAAGAGTTGCCATATATATTATCAGCAATGATGATAACTTTGTTAAGGATCTTTTGTAATTTGTACAATGAAAGGTTGTATACTTTTTATAGAAAGATACCTGAATTGATGATGAGACTAATGTATATACATATAGATCTATATACATCAATGAAGTTTCATATTCGATTAGAAAAGGATAAATTATTACAGTTGAGAAACTGTTGAAGGTAAAGATCAATGTAAAGTTCATCTTTGTTGAAGATTAAAGTGTATTGATTTCAATGATATAAAGGGTTGAGATAGTGGAGAAGATTTGTAGCTTAGGTGGATGTCTTTGATGGAGTTTTGTTCATTGAGCTGGGAGGTTTGATCAAACCTTCCAGCTTAGAGAACAAAACTCCATCAAGATGTAAAGGGTATGTAATAGGGTATATGTTCATTAGAATTTCATATTTCTTTGTTGATTTTGATCTAAAATAGAAAAAATAAACGATAATATCTAAGTATCTAAATATGGTTATGATATGTTTATTAAAGGTTTAATCTACAAGGTAGTGGAGTGACGTCAGGGAATGCAGTTACCTATTAGCCGGCAATCAATAATTGTTTATTACACTTTTTGTTTACTCAGAATCATGGAGTCTATGTACACTATTGGTTTGGAATGTAGGTTTTCCAACTCCTCTAGATTGATCCACTTTATCCATCAACTCAGTTAAAGTGTCGGACATTCTTAAACAACGGTTGATCTACAATAGATTCATACGCTATTCGCCCCCTCAGGATCCTGAAGCTCATGTGCACCATCGGTTTAGAATGAGAGTTTTCCAACTACCTGAGGTGGGTTCTCCATGTCCACCAACCTCGTCAAAGCGTCGAAAATTCGCTTTTTGGTCTCTCAGTTTCGTAAACAACAGTAATGCCGTGAGAAGACAGTGAATAGGACTCCCGTGGAAATGACTGTATATGCGTGGCATGTGTGAACATTTGGAGAGGGAGAGCTGACTCTCTCCACCCTCGGCCGCACTATTGCATTTGGCGACATCTTGGCAACATGGCAACTTAATTGTCAGAAATCAGTCAGCATTAGGGGGATTAACAACTATAATATATTGATCACTACCTAGTGACCAAAAACATACAATTCATTGATTTTACTTTATAGGTACATCCAGAAGAACCTTTCCACGGTGTCCGTCAGTCAGTCAGTAACAACGTGGAACTTCATACGTACGTACATCAGTTCCAGTTGCCATACCACATTAGCACAGAGATGCAATTGTCGATTTAAATCCCCTAGTGGTAGTGGTAGTAAAAGTATAAGCAGTAATCGGAAACATTAGGCTTGAAAGAGGTTATTCAAGGAGTATAATTCATTGGAATGAATTTGGAAAGAGAAAAAACGAAGGGACATGAAGAATTCAGGTGAATAAAATTTGGGAGAACACAAAGAGTGGATGCACCTGTTCCATTGCAAATGATTTTGAGCCATGTCATTCAAGGTCTCTAACCATCAATTTTTATCATCACGCGGATCCCAACCAGGTAGTCTACACCTGCCAACATGGATCAGTCCACTTGTCAGTGACTTCATGGATTTATACCATGTTTTAGTTTGGCCGTCCATAGCTTTTTTCAAATTACTCCTACACCACAAAACATCGCACATCAGGGCTGTTGGTGGTTGGGCATCCGTAACACATGTCCCAGACATCTCAACTGATGAAGTTTCACTACTTCATCAACTGATTAGCCATCCTTTCCTTATAGCCTTTTCCTAACAACCGGTTTAATTATCCGGTGTACCAGGATATACGAGCAATGTTTCGAAGACACCTATGATCAAATACTAGTAACCTACGAATATCCTCTACTCTTACCGGCCATGTTTCACTCCCATAAAGTAGAACGAGACTAACTGTTGTGCAGAAAACACGTCCTTGGTTTGATAGACGGATATCTCGCCTACACCATAAATGAGGCAAGTTGGCAAAAACTAGTCCAGCCTTCTGTATCCAGGAAATAATAACTTCACTCATACATCTGACAACACTCAAGACCACTGTCTAACATTTTTGAATCATCAAAACAACTATTATGATACTGTAATCTTTCTTAAATCTTTATCACTTCAATCAACTACTTCGCTCATTCCCTTGACTTCCGATTCGTATAAACTACCATCTTTTACAGTTGATTGATCATTGTGTGGTGACCAATGTCATTCGTGTCAAGTCCTTCTTAGTGTAGATCGAATCCTATCGAACATAATGCAATGTGACCACCAGTCTAAGTGACTCGACCTTGCGTGCCCGTGTCCAGGGTTTCGTGACGAGTATCAAATAGCACCAACCCAGGTCTAGGGCTTCCTGTCGACTACCTCCCACCATCATCTAACTATCATATTTCACTTACATTGATCATCATAATAACTAAGATCATATATTGGTGATAAATATGAGTTCGTATTTGTTGGATAAACAATAGAATTTCTAATTGTTCTATGTAATGATGATTGTAAATATACATCATGATTAAGATGTTCATTTATCAATGTCCCATTCATAGAACTATTCAAATGATTAGTTGATAGATTTGATGTATTGAATGAAGTATATTTTTGTCCTATCAATTGATTATTATTATTGTAGCAATAATCATTAGTATTATTGTTGTAGCTATGGTTACCGGTGTCATATGAGAAAGGTAATGAACAGATTGTTTTTGTATGTAAATGATTTGTGTAATGAAATGGATCATTATAAGTAGTATTAATAGTAGTATTGACATTTAGATGATCATTTATTGATTGATGAATGATATTTGTATTCGGCCAAAGCGATTGATTATTATCGATTTTCGATGAATATTGATATTTTTTATTGGTTGATAAACAACCAATTAGATATGGTTTCTTTAATGATTGATCATGATTTTTGGTTGTTGTTGTTGTTGTTGTTGATATGATAATTGGATTACATTCCGTTTTATTGATATGATGATTGAATTTTTGTTTACAATAAGATTGTATCCATATCATGATACTACTTATAATAATAATCAATAATATCATTGAAATAATAAATGAAATCCATAAAAATTGATGATGATTATGTAACCAAAATTTCATTGTTTTATGATTCGAATCGATTATCGATTGATTATTGATTATGGATTGATTAAATGAATGAATTTTAATAAAAAATTGTGTTTCATTTGATGATAAAGATGGTATACCCATATCTTTAAGTGATATCTTGATATGATAGATCCCTTCAATAGGTGGATCGTATGATGGATTCGTATCCATATTAATCATTGTGGAATCATATGCTGAATCCATGAACCAATTTGTATATAATTTACCATTAGATTCATTTAAATAAAAATATTGACTACCATTAGTCAATGAATTTAATTGATATAATATAGTACCATTTAAGCCATGATCTGGATCATAACCCTTGATTTGTATAACGAATGTATAAATTGGTGTATTTGTATAAATCATTATGGAATGATCTGGATCTGGATCATGATCATAATGATCTTGATCTAGATCCTGATCTGGATCTGGATCATAATCACCAATAATACTATTATAAATAGGATATATACATAATGGTATATTATCATTTTCATCTAATATATTTATAGTGAATGTATATGTGATACTATTTATTGATTTTATATTATTCATATTATTATCAGTATTATATGTAATAATTTGATAAAAAATTTTATTGATTTTTTCACGATCAATAATTAATTGATTAATCAATATTGCTTTTAATTCATATTCATTAATTAATTCATTTTTATTGATTTGTTTATAATGAAAATTTTTATCAGGTATAATTTTAAGATAGTGATTACATTGATTATCGATTGATTGGTTATTGATTGATGGATTATTGATTGATGGATTATTATCTAATAATAAATGTATCATTGAATTTTTTGAATCTTTATCTAAATCGATTAAATGTATAAAATCAATAAAAGTATTGATTTTTTTATTTTCAAGAAAATCAATATTGATATGATTATTATTATATAATATTGGTAAATGATCATTAATATCGATTAATTGTATAATTAATTGTGTATGAGTCGTTAAATTTCCTTTATCTATAGCTAATATATTTAAATAAAAATATTCAATTTGTTCACGATCTAATAAATGATTATGTAATACTGTAATGATACCATTGAATGGATCAATTTCAAATGGTTGTTTATATTCTTGTGGATGTCTTGAATACTTCGAATGATCTGGATCTTCTTCCTCATGATCATGATCATCATGATCATCAATATAATTGAATGTAATTGATTTTAATTGATAAGTTAATTGTCCATATTCACCTTTATCTAAATCATGTGCTTTCATTTCAGTAATATATGAACCATCTGATAAATGTTCTGGTATTTTAATATAATATTTGGATTGTTTAAATATAGGTATATTATCATTTTGATCAGAGATAGCTATAGTGATACGAAATTGATATAGATATTTCAATAGATCCTTTTGTTGAAAGTGTTGTAAAGTGAAATTTACTTTATTGAATAGATCTATGTCAGCTAAATCATAACAATCAATTAATAATGAAGCATATTGAATCTGTTCATAATCAAATATACCTTTTGTAAATATAAAAAATACAGTATCTGAGACTGGATGTAAACGTAAATAATCTTGACCAGCTAGAAGTTCTTTATCTTGAAGATGATTTAATTCTAATGGAGTTGGTTTACAAAGGATCTAAAAAGAAAAAAACACTATTGATTTTAATGAAAATTTATTGAATTCACTCAATTACGATCCCGCTCGAGGGATTCGAACTCAGGGCATTCAGCCTCGCGCGTGAACGCTTAACCTACTGGACCACTGCCTAGGAGTCCTACAATAAGACGAAACGGTCATCCAGCGCTTCCAGCTTTTCAGTGGTGATCTAACGTCAATCAGTCCATGATCTCAATCAAAAACTTAACTAGCTCAAAAACCCTTAAACTGATAATCTTATATATTTTGATAGAGTTTTGTTCTGTGAGTTGGAGGGCCAATCTTTGCATTTACGTCTGCATCTGATACTCTTTGTTCATCGATGATGCTTCCCACGTACGTGAAGGATTCCACATCTTCTAGAGTTTCGTCATCAAGTGTGATTGGAGTGGTGTTCTCCGTGTTGTATTTGAGGACCTTGGTTTTCTCCCTGTGTATGTTGGGGCCAACTGATGGTAGCCTATTAATATGTAAACGTATTGATAACGGAAATTAGAGAACAGTGATTTATTGACCGAACCCACGACTCGTAAACCCGTACAAGCAGTCAAGATTCTTTAAGGACGCCCTCTTGATTTTAATATACCTGCAGCTGGTACCATTGATGCAGATAGGCTATCAGTTTTTATGACTTGTAGGTTTGTACTCCTATCAATGTATGATGTAACGTTACTGTCAATTAGAGAGCAGTGGTTTATCGACCGGACCAATGACACATACACCTGTACGAGTAGTCTAGATTCCATAACGATCTTTATTCCTGACTAGCCCTGCATGCCTATTGAGTCCAGGATATCAATCTCAGCCTCTGGGATGTAAACACACATTGTACCATAAAATCGAAAACAACATTTAAAGATCTAACCAAAAGTGGCTGTGAATGTGGGAGACTGTAATGAATAGACTGGGCATAACTCAAGAACGGTGAATCGTATAATAATAGTCTATGAGTCAAATTGAAGCGTATAATAAGAGGAATATGAACATACATAGTTTAGTTACTTATCAATTTACACAATACAAATTTATGTATCGTATTGGTCCATAAACAGATTACAATAGTTACCATCCACTATTCTCGTTGGGATAATAACATTGTACATAATAAGCAAATATGGATAATGGCTAGCAGTGGAATCCACATCCTGGAACGTGAATCATAAATTCCACTACTAGTCATAATCCATCCAAGCTTATAATGCTTGTGAATTAAAGTAATATCAAGGTCCTATGCATAGTATGCCAATATGAGTCTGATCAATTGTAGTCATAATCATCAATTAGAAGATTCAAGTAAACAATACTTAATGAATCCAATACATTGTAGTTGTTAATTAACAAAAGCTAAAAGCATAAATCACTAAAAAATTTTCCGTTATCTGTAATATTGTTATGACCTCTTTTCTTCTTCTTCTTCTTCTTCTTCTTCTTCTTCTTCTTCTTCTTCTTCTTCTTCTTCTTCTTCTTCTTCTTCTTCTTCTTCTTCTTCTTCTTCTTCTTCTTCTTCTTCTTCTTCTTCTTCTTCTTCTTCTTCTTCTTCTTCTTCTTCTTCTTCTTCTTCTTCTTCTTCTTCTTCTTCTTCTTCTTCTTCTTCTTCTTCTTCTTCTTCTTCTTCTTCTTCTTCTTCTTCTTCTTCTTCTTCTTCTTCTTCTTCTTCTTCTTCTTCTTCTTCTTCTTCTTCTTCTTCTTCTTCTTCTTCTTCTTCTTCTTCTTCTTCTTCTTCTTCTTCTTCTTCTTCTTCTTCTTCTTCTTCTTCTTCTTCTTCTTCTTCTTCTTCTTCTTCTTCTTCTTCTTCTTCTTCTTCTTCTTCTTCTTCTTCTTCTTCTTCTTCTTCTTCTTCTTCTTCTTCTTCTTCTTCTTCTTCTTCTTCTTCTTCTTCTTCTTCTTCTTCTTCTTCTTCTTCTTCTTCTTCTTCTTCTTCTTCTTCTTCTTCTTCTTCTTCTTCTTCTTCTTCTTCTTCTTCTTCTTCTTCTTCTTCTTCTTCTTCTTCTTCTTCTTCTTCTTCTTCTTCTTCTTCTTCTTCTTCTTCTTCTTCTTCTTCTTCTTCTTCTTCTTCTTCTTCTTCTTCTTCTTCTTCTTCTTCTTCTTCTTCTTCTTCTTCTTCTTCTTCTTCTTCTTCTTCTTCTTCTTCTTCTTCTTCTTCTTCTTCTTCTTCTTCTTCTTCTTCTTCTTCTTCTTCTTCTTCTTCTTCTTCTTCTTCTTCTTCTTCTTCTTCTTCTTCTTCTTCTTCTTCTTCTTCTTCTTCTTCTTCTTCTTCTTCTTCTTCTTCTTCTTCTTCTTCTTCTTCTTCTTCTTCTTCTTCTTCTTCTTCTTCTTCTTCTTCTTCTTCTTCTTCTTCTTCTTCTTCTTCTTCTTCTTCTTCTTCTTCTTCTTCTTCTTCTTCTTCTTCTTCTTCTTCTTCTTCTTCTTCTTCTTCTTCTTCTTCTTCTTCTTCTTCTTCTTCTTCTTCTTCTTCTTCTTCTTCTTCTTCTTCTTCTTCTTCTTCTTCTTCTTCTTCTTCTTCTTCTTCTTCTTCTTCTTCTTCTTCTTCTTCTTCTTCTTCTTCTTCTTCTTCTTCTTCTTCTTCTTCTTCTTCTTCTTCTTCTTCTTCTTCTTCTTCTTCTTCTTCTTCTTCTTCTTCTTCTTCTTCTTCTTCTTCTTCTTCTTCTTCTTCTTCTTCTTCTTCTTCTTCTTCTTCTTCTTCTTCTTCTTCTTCTTCTTCTTCTTCTTCTTCTTCTTCTTCTTCTTCTTCTTCTTCTTCTTCTTCTTCTTCTTCTTCTTCTTCTTGGTCTTCTATTAATAGAATCATTAATCATGTTTATCAAATAAGTGATTAGTTTATTGCGTGATACACATTCTCCAGGTAAAATATACATAATATCGAACAATCTGCATATGAATCAATTTATCTATTATATTAGTATTAAACAAATAAGTTGAAAGTCTTAGGTGGTTGTTGAAGGTAGTCAAAAGGAAACCCTGGATTCAGGTTTCCTGCTATTTGGCACTCGTCAGCAAGGCGTATCTGTATTCTTAAAGGAACTAGTACTCTGTGACGGATTCGGTCACGTGTCACCCAGCTTCACAATCAGAGACGTTACCACTGAGCTATTCCAGCCGCGACCAGACTCCTGTAGGAGTGAAATGTAATCACAATTGATTGATCACTGGGTGGTGACCAATGTCATGTGTGTCAAGTCCCTCTTAGTGTAGGTCAAATCCTAACGACCAAGTTGCAACGTGGCCGTCAGGGAGCACCAGTTCCATCAAGATTATAGGTACACCTTGCTGACGAGCGCCAAGTAGCACGAAACGCGGGTCCAGGATTTCCTGTCGACCACCTCCAACCATCATCCAATCTTCAACATTATGCACTCAAGATCCCGAACACGAGACACGAACTCAGTATTTTCGGCATCCAACAGTATTCATGTCTTACTTCAACTTACCCACCGCCCACTATTATCTTTAATGAGTTACTGTCTCACAACAGACATGATTGCCCTCCACTAATCACGGTTCCCATTAGAACTCCAGGATATTCATCTTGAATCAAGCCACTAGTCAGCACACGATAGTTATTATATGGAATGGTCTTTTGTGGAGATTGTAGTTGATTTATTATTTGAATTAAAGAATTGATTAAAGTTAGACCAACTATGAATAGCTTGAAATGATTGGACGACCGTCTCATTTTAATAGGGGTACTCCTCCTCAGTGCATATTCGCGATCCTGCATGCAGAATTCACATCCAGTATCTCCAGTTTTCGCGTACATAGAAATCGATCTCACGACCTCCAGTCTTCGAATGAAAACAACCTCAATCTTACTCTTTTCACATGATGATCACAAGTTTGGAAGATCATAAAATTTCCACCCTTCTATTTTGTTGCTGTTCTATTGAGATTTTTCATTAAAATTAATGTCTGTTTTCTAGTTTTAAAATTTTCCAAAAAAACCAATAATAAAGATAATCTACAAATTACCATAACAGCTGTCATTTTGATTCATTTTGTTCACATGTAGGGTTTGTTCTGGTTAACGTATCTTTTGTTTTTGGCAAAGTTAATTTCTATGGCTTGTGGTTTAGTGACCCTATATCTAAGCCATCCTCCACTTGGTTTTGTGTGGGCTTGGGATTGGTAATAGTGTAGTGTCAGTCATTATTTTAAGTCCATAATATATCTTAATTCTAGTATTTGGACAAACCAATCTATTCATTCTACTTGAGTCATATTTTGACCTTGTTAATTATTCGCTTATCAGTCTTGACTGTTTTTATATGAGCACGTAGATGTGTGTACACTTCATATCCCATGTCTCATCAAATGTCTGTAGTTTATTTTTGTCTACCTATAAATATTGAGTAACGACTGGCTAGAAATGGAGTTAACTTACCAGCCATCTCCCCTGCGCGTCATTTTGCTTTGTTCTATCACATTCACTTTACACACAAATTTTATGTATTCAAAGGCCATTTCCGTTAATTGACTTATCTAAATTCCGTTATTGACTAACGTGATTTAAGTCGATGTTTGTATACGAGGATAGGTGATAACAAACATTCGTACGATCTAAAAATGTAGTCAGATCCACGGGCCACTAAAATAGGTTTAGACGAGCTACAAGTGGAGTTGTCATTATGTATACAATCATAGATACTATATATCTTGTTCAAATATAAATTGTTTTTTAAGTAAAACGATAGATGACATAGAGCATTTTAGTTTGATATTAGATGATTGTAGATAGCAGTAGTAGTAGTAGATGGAATGTGCCAGTCAGGCACGGTGTGTCTACAATTTAGATGAGAGATTATACTAAACAGCAACAAAAAGATTGGCGTGATTATAGTTTATGGACAAACTATTCAGGTTTTGGATTTCAACGTGAAATTCTATATATATCTTATGCAAATATGGATAGTTTATAGCATTGAGATCCAAGTCACGCGTTTTGTCCTAGTTGGGACTCGTTTATCTGGATGTTCCTGAATCCCAGAGTTGCTGTTCACTCCAGAACTCGAACACAGTGCCGTTCGCTTCAAGCTCAATCGTATTATCCATTTAGCTATTGAGTCCTGATAGCTACTTGCATGTACACAGTATGCACATATGTCACTAAGAGACTGATCAATTGCAGTGCTAAATATCAATGAGAAGATTCAAACAAACAATATCAAGTGAATTTAAACTTCACCCCATTGTACAAGCACAAGTAGCTATTTGAGCTCAGTAGCAAAGTGGATAACGCGATAGCGTTTGAAGTGAATGGTACTGTGTTCGAGTCGTGGGGTGAACATCACCACTTAGATGCAGGCACACCCAGCTGACGATTTCCAAATAGGACGAAACGCGCGTCCTAGATTCCACTGCTAACCACTGTCTATCTTTGTATATAATGCTTGTGAATTAAGGCTATATCGAGGCAATGCCAATAACAGAGACAGATGAATTTTACTGCCTAACATCAATGGGTAGATTCAAACAAGCAATACGAAGTGAATCTTTATGCATTTGGCTAAATAGTGTCTTGACATTTTAGCTGATAACAGTTTGTGATGAAAACTCCAAATCCATTTTATATCCCTAATTATCAACTGTAAATTACAATCCTTATTCTTCAAATTGGATTAAAACTCTCATTTAACCCTAGTCAGTAAGTGAACATTCTCAAGGCCACTTAAGCATCACTCCAAGGTCGTCTACAAATTATAATCTCACCAGAAGATCTGAGCAACTAATTTATACAAATATCAGAAAGATTTTCGGATGTGGTGGAGATCATGAGTCAATTGAAGCTAGACCACTATGGAAAACCTCGAAGCACTGGACGGCCATTTCGTCCTATTGTAGGACTCCTCAGCAGTATGTCCGCTCTATCCTGATCAAATTTATTTTTTCTAGGTGGTGAAATTGTTCAATGTTTATTATTAGATAAATAATTAATAGTAAATAAATGTTTTTTATTTGAAGATTTAATTAATGTGAAATTCTTCTTTTATCTTTCCTTACCCCCTCCACACACACACACCTCTAATACTTTCTCATTCTCTTACCCTATCACACCACATTCCCACCCTTAGTGAATGGATTAGATACACAAAGAAATAAATATCATTCTATCCTAAACCTAAAAACGTACAAAAGTTGTCGATAGTTTTGATGTCAACTCATTCATTCATTCATTCATTCCTTCATTGAATTGCCTTAACTTCAATGAATCATCTTACTTCTCACAACCATCACCTATTATCACCACCACCACCATCATCATCATCATCATCCCCATCACCCTTATCACATGCAAAATTTCATTCATGTTGTACGATTTTTTTGCTTTTGATTATCCTTTTAAACTTTTTTATTCTTTCAAACGGAATTCCGTTTATATACAAAGTGTAACGATACAAAGTAAACAAATAAATAAATAAATAAAATTTTGTATACAAATGAAGTAAGAAAAGAAAACAGTATAGATGATCATAATAATAAGAAGAAGGAGAAAAAGAACGAGAGGATGGAGGAGGAGAAGGAGAAGGAGGATGTGGAGGACAATAAGATTTTGTTAGTAACAAAATGAGAAAAGAAACCAAAACATTTCACAAGATCTTTAGTTTTCTATTTCCCCCTTTTTTGTCACCAACACAACCACCATCACCAGCACCACCCCTAATTTATCTCTATTTATTTCGATCAATTTTGTTTAAATTTCAACTATGAAAAAAAATTTTTTCCAAGTCAATTTTTGCTTAGCTTTTTTTCTCTTTTTTTTCTCTTTCTCTCTCTCGGTTTTGTTTATTAATTAATGAAGTTAAAAGTATTGAAATACTCGTGTCATTTCTAATACATAAACGTTCGAATCTCGCGAGGGCGGGATCGTGGATGCGCACTGCTGAGGAGTCTCATACTATGACGAAACGGTCGTCCAGTGCCTCCAGTTGTTTCATGGTGATCTAGCTTCAACTGACTCATGATTTCAACCAGTGAAAGATAAATGTATTGTTGAGGAAATAACATTTCATATGGGCTGAATTCCTATTAGCTGTTATATTATCAATCAATATATTGATTATATCCAAAGATGGATATTAACTAGTAGTAGAATCCAGTTTGATGCTCGTTTTATCCTATTTGGGACTTGTCAACTGGATGTACTTGAATCTCAGAGTTGATGTTGACTCTTGGATTCGAACTCAGTACTATTCACTTCAAACACTATTGCGTTATCCATTTTGCTACTAAGTTCTAATAGTCACTTTCTTGTTCAATGGGGTGAAGGGTGAATTCATTTGGTGCTGTTATTCAATTGAACGATTCATTCATACAACCAAAAAATCATTTTCTGTCTAGATTTTCTATATGAGCAAAAATAGTTTTACAACTATCTTTACATTCACTTGGTATTAATTACGTGAATCATCCGATTGTTGTTTAGGACTGCAATTGATCAGTCTCTTATTAGCAAATGTGCATCGTGTATGGATTGCCTCAAGTCACATAAGTCATCATAAGCGAAGATTTATGGTGGCTAGGAAAGGAATCCAGGACAGGTGATTCATCGTTTTCAGGACTCTTCTGGTTGATATACCTGCATACCAGAGTTTGTGTTCATTTCAGTACTCGAACCCAGTACCGTTCGCTTCAAACGCCATCGCATTTTTCACTTAGCTAGCGAGTCTTGTTAGTCATTTGTGCTTGTGTAATGAGGTAAATTTAAAAGTCACTTAGTATTTTTGTTTACTTTGAATCTTCCCATTGATGTTTAGCACTGTAATTAATCAGTCTCTTATTAGCATATATGCATCTTCGACATTGCCAGAAGTCACAAGTACTTTTAGTCAAAGATGGATAGTGGTTGATGAATCTCAAATGGGACGGAATGTGTACCGTGAATCCTATTGCTAACCACTATCCATCTTTGCTTATACATCTTCACATGACCAAATATTCTTGATGTGTAGTAACTTAATATCAGTATCCTAATCTTCGGTCTACAAACATACGTGGTAAGCAATCGCTGAATTTACATTTAAGATCTGATTTCTTATACTTGATTGATTAATCCATAAATTATATTCTTGCCATTATTGTTAATATCAAAACAATTCTACTGTATGGAGCAAAAACTTGGTGAACTAGAATTATCTACACAAAATACTTCATATCCATTGACCAGACACTATTAGTAACAACCTACCGAGGGAGAGAACAAACCGGATCCTTATGGAAGATCTGATAGCCACATATTGAGGAAAGCAGCCAACTACGTCACAAAGCAAGCCCTCAATCGGAATTCCCAAGGTTAAAGAAGAGAACACCGTATAACACATAACGTCAAGAAATGGAAGCAAACATAAGAAGAATAAACAACAACTAGACAGAAATAGAAAGGAAGGCGAGACTATAATTTATGGATGAGTCAATTAGAAGCGTTTGAGGGATTTCAAAGTCATGGCGCCAATTACAGTACCTGATGCTCAAATACAATTTCTTTATAGCAGATTTTAGACAGGATGTGATAATTGAGTGGCTACAACAAATGAGACTACTAAGAAGCGAAAAATTAACAGAGGACGTAGTATTAAGGAAGACTTGGTAATCAGCACTTACATAAATTTACCTCACAGGTACTTGGAATTTACGACATATCAACCTAAAAGGGACACTTCGGAATGGTCATAAACCGACAAGCAACGACAATAGTACCAATTATACAGGAATACGTGCAGCCGAGTACTACAATATATACGGATGATTGGAGAGCCTACAGATGCCTGGATAGATTTGGATATGTGCATCATGTCGTTGTCTATAAGTGCCATTTTGTGGACCGGATAACAGGAGTTCACACTAACAATATGAAAGTTATGTGATCCACGCTAAAGGAGTTTTTACAACCCTATCATTGCTTGAGAGGTCGACTATCACACAGCCATTTCGATGAGTTACTCTGCTGTATGTACTACGATTTCAGAACCTCTAGACCTCTGTCAAACTTTTATAAGTTTTTGAATCACGTAAAAGAAGTATATTCACTTTAACTCCTTGGTTTTTTATAATATATTTCCATTTTATACTAATTGTCTTCTGATTGGCTAATATTTCTAAAGGTTACTCAAGATTCGTTCAAACGTCGTCCATCAATTAGAGTCTCGCCGAAAGGGGAATCCTCAGGACAAATTAGAATGGATGAATGCTAGTCGGCAACCTTTGCTCCATGAGGAATAAATAAGTCAGTCACTATGATCAGAATAACTTACTTTCCCATGAGATACTTCATCCTCATCTTTAATATAAAATCGTATAATTGGTTTTGTAAATATATGTCCTTCTGGTATAGTGATATTCTCTTGTATCATTAATGTTGGTATATTATCGTTTATATCCTTAATTTGAATAGAAATCGACGTCGTACAGGATAATGGTGGACTACCAGAATCCTTGACAATAATTGGCAACAAGAATTGACGTTCAGAATAGATTTCATAATCTAATGGTTCACGTATTGTAATCGCTCCGTTTGTTGAATCAATATGGAATTTCATTGGAATCAGACTATTAGCTAATGGACTAAACGAATAGATAAGACGACTATTCTCACCAGAATCAGCATCTGTTGCATTCACTATATAGAATGGTCTATTATCTAATGTTGTATTCTCTGGTAATGTGATATATTGTTCTGTCATTGTAGATTGTTCAATCATAGGGGGATTATCATTCATATCTAATAAACGAACTATAATTGATAATGAACCAGTTAATGATGGATCACCTCCATCAATGGCATAGAATGTAGCATAGATTTCACGATCATCTATATTTTCATAATCTAATGATCGAAGAAGTATCAATTTTGGATTGATTGAATGAATATGATCATATGTCATAGTAATATTTAATCGAGGTTCTTTCACAAGATCTCCATTATTTGTATATTCGATGAGTTGATACATCACTATACCATTTAATTCAGAATCTGCATCTGAAGCAATAGGTAAACCTTCAAATCCATTTGTATCCCCTTCACGTATATAAATAATAAATGGTCTATTCAATAATTGTTGAGATTTATTTAATGAATCATATTGAATCATATTCGTTGACATAAAAAAACGTGGTGGATTATCATTTGCATCGTTAATTCGTATATATAAATGTATCATCGTTTGTTGTTCATTAGATTCATTCAATTTTATCGAGTTTCGTCTCAATTGTTCTTCTTCACCTTCATCAGGAATACGATGATCTTCCATGAATGAATGATTCATTTGATTCAAATCATGTTTCCAATGATTATCCCATTGTTTAGTCAAAATGATATTCGCTTCAATTTGACATACGAGTAATGGACAACAATTTAATGGACCACATATATCATTTGTATTATCACGATCTATATGACGTAATGTAATGATATCACCATTGGATGTAATTTTGATATAATCATTTATATATTGAAATTTAATTGATGTAATGAATAAGTATGTATAGTTCCTTATAGAATTGAATGATAAATTTTCTGCTATATTACCAATTAATGAACCAGTTGGTGTTTCATCAGCAAGATTATAAATCACGATTGGGATTTGAGAACTACTTATAAATGATTTAAGTAGTAAAACAATTATAACTATAGTAATCGGATAATAATGATGATGATATTGCATCATTGATTAATCTTCTTGTCAATAAATATAATTGCTTGAGAAGTAAAGAAATGAAATGGATAAAGTAATAGAACAGAGAATACTAAGTGAGCAATCAATGAAAATATTTTCAGCTCAAACAGATTGTAATTAGTGTCTATAGTTTGGAAAGCACAAAACATCATGATCCCACAAATGTATATAATATATAAGATAATATACCTTTGTGGGATAGGGTAATGTTACGTTAGTGTTTTAGGAGAACCGGACGATGTTCAGACGTTCATGTGAAAACTTGTTCAGTATAGCTCAATCCCGTTTAATGGGAGAGAACGAGACACCATATAGGTGTTAACGCCACAATCTGAATAGTACAGGTTAATTCTGTGGCGCAACCACACAAGTACCCAGCATCATAGTGAACTATTCGCATCATTCATATGCACATAGTATATATATGCACATATTTATAGTTATTCTGTTCATTTTGTTATATCCTGACGAGAATAATGAATGGTAACTGTTGGAATCCATTTATAGACCAATACTATACGTATATTTTTATCGTATTGTAGATAAATGGTATTCGTGTTCCTATTATCATAAGTTTTAATTTGAACCATAGACTATAATTTTATGATTTACCACTTTTGAGTTATGCCCTGTAGATTATTTACTATCTCCTTCATTCACAAACACATTTGGCTATTTCTTGTACAAATGTTGTTTCCTAGTTTATGGTACGATGTGGTCTGTCTGGTTGGTATATAAACCCAGTATGTTAGGCGGGAAGCAGGGCCAATAAGGACTCTAGACTGCTCGTACGGGTTATATACGTCATTGGTCCAGTCGATAATTCATCGTCCTCTAATTGATAGTATCATCACGTTATACATTAACAGGGCACATAGGCCACAAGTTATAACACATTGATTGTGTAAATCAATTATGCACAGCATGAACAGGCCAAAGTTGACCTATTCCACTTACATGACAGTCAAACTCATTAATGTCAGCAATGATGATATGACTTACGAAGTTCTAATGACAATAACCCATGAGAACACTGAAAAGCAACCAGCAGTATGAATGAAATAGGTTAACCAGTAAACCAATTTTGCGTATGAACACTAAGCAAAGCTTACCAAAGTCATGCCGAATCATTCACAATATCAATAACGAACCTCCAGTCTCATATGAAACTTTCAGCTCTACATAGAAATATAGCTTATATTAATGTATGCATTTGCTTAATTTGAGTTGAGTTCTGCAACTTTCTAAACAATAATAAATGAGCTAGTCACTTAGTGAAATGTAAACAATATAGAAACAAGCTTAGATCCATTTCGACGTAACATTCCTTATTTCCTGTCAGGAAAGTAAGAGATCAGTCAGACAAGATGAGAATCAGTTAATACACAATGATGAAAGCTCGAAAGGAAGGCTCGATACAGGTAATATGGTTTGAAAGGAATGAATGCAAGGAGAGATTGAATGGCATGGATGATCATCCAACCTAAGATTAAGAGAAGAAAAATTTGAACTAGAACACCTGATTTTTACAGTTTTAACTCTAAATTCAATCAGGAAGCGACCACGTACGGTAACAGTAAAGTTTGATGTTTGTATCTTTATGGAGATATCTATCTAATACCAACAAATAATGAAAAACACTAGACCGCTCTTTCATAAATGTCCGAGAGTCCTCGGTAATCGTTATGTATTCGACTTAATTCAAGACTGAAACTATAATATTGGCCGACAAGAGTAATTGACTTATTTTTTAACAATGTTGGTAGTCAAGCAGCTACTGAATGATAAGTGGACTACTCCAGATATTGATTGAAATTGGAAATTTCAACCAATATTTGCACGTGTCTTGTTTATCATAAGAGCTGAAAACACTGGGTTCGTTTTTTTGGTGCTATTTATGCACAATTATGACGGCCGATTCAGTAGTCTAGAGGCTAAGCGATTGCGCACAAGACCTATAGGTCCTGGGTTCGAATCTCGAGAGTGAGATCGTGGATTCTCATTGCTGAAGAGTCTTACACTGTGACGAAATGACTATCCAATGGTTCTAGGTTTTCCATAGTTGGTCTAGCTTACATGAAATTGTTACAATCTTCACAAAACCCGTTCTGATAATAATCATTAGGCGCTCACTAGTGACTGACTTCAAAATCATTTCCTGGATTGACAAACAATGACCAGTTTAGTCTAATCCATGTTGGGTAGAGATAGATATCTACCTCAGACAGTGGATGGATGATTGTGCAGCCATTCGTGGATATATATTGAATTTAAACATTACACCGTTAGATGTCGCACGGCATAGTAATCTATAGGTTAAGCGTCCGCTTGACAGACCGATAGGACCTGGGTTTGAGTCTGTCATGCAGGATCGTAGATACTCATTGCTGAAGAGTCCTGTACTAGAACAAAACCACCATCCAGTACTTCCATGTTTTCTCTAGTTTATCTTGACTTATAAACTCAACGATTAAATATCAGTCAAACTACTTTGACTATCATGAATAGATTCAATATTCAATTGTATATCATTCACTTGAATGTGTCATTAATCTCAAGGTCAACAACAAGATGACCTTAAAGTTAATTGAATATTGAAATAGATTTGAAATCTGATAGCTTTTATGGCTTATTAATATTAATAATAATAATAATGTAATGATACGATCAATTAAAGAACAGTGATTTATCGATCAAGCCTAGGATACATTAAATTGTATGAATAGTCTAGATACTTTAACGATGCTCTTTTGGTTTTAATAGAACTGCAGTTATTACTATTGATGAAGATGGGATATCACTTGTTAGTACACTTGTAGGTTTATACTCCTATGTATGATGTATGATGTGATGATACCATCAACTAGAGAATATTGATTTATCGATCGAATCTATGGTGCATAAACTTGTGCGAGCAGTCTAGAGTCTTTATGAATCCCTCTTCTTGACTAGCTCTGTCTACATCTTAAATCCAGAATGCCAATAATAGATTCATCCATTTCGAACATACTGGGTTTATGTACATTTGCAGCCAAACAGACCATACCACACCAAAAAAATAGGAAATGAAATTAGTATAAGATCAAGCCAGATGTAACCGTGAATGTAGAAGACTGTAATGAATCAAAACTCAAGAATGGTAAATTGTATCATAATAATTCATGGATCAAATGAATGCTTGTAATAAGAGGAATATGAATATACATCACTTAGTGAATGAATAATTACACATTAAGAAATATCTGTATCATATTAAACATTAATAGATCCTGATAGTTATCATTTCCTCCACCTTATTCTCGTGGAGATAAAACAAAATCAACTCAAAATGTATCAATAATTCAATGAATAAATTAAAGTTAGACATTAACACCGTTAGATGACGGCTATGTGGTCTAGTTGGTTGATCGCCTGGCGCGAGACTGATATGTTCTGGGTTCGAATCCCGCGAGTCGTAATCGTGGATGCGCAATGCTGAGGAGTCCCGCAATCGAACGAAATGGCTGTCCAGTGCTTCCAGGTTTTCCATGGTGGTTTAGCTTCAATTGACTCATGATCTCCACCATTGAAATTACTATAAACTCCACAACACCCCTTCTGATACTGAAAAATTTATCATTAATTCAATGAAAAGAAAAAAATCGATCATTTAAACAATTCGATCTGTTTAAAGAAGAAAGAAAAAAGAAAAACAAAAAAGAGAAAAAACAAAAACAAAAATAAGAAAAAGAAAAAAGAAAAGAAACGTGTCAGAAATTTTTCTCAATTTATTTCTTTATTTATTTTTTATCAAAATTAATGATCAAGGTTAAAAATTTATTCTTTATCTCATAATGAAATATTGAATATTGAATAAGAGAAAATTTTAATGAATGAATACACGTTATGTATAATGATGTTTGTTGATTGTTGATTGAATGAAATGATCTTATCAAGTAATGAATAAACAGAATATCACACATTGAACGGATTGAGTGAAGTGAGTGAGTGTGTGAGTGTGTGAGTGAGTGAGTGAGTGAGTGAATGAGTGAGTGAGTGAGTGAGTGAGTGAGTGAGTGAGTGAGTGAGTGAGTGAGTGAGTGAGTGAGTGAGTGAGTGAGTGAGTGAGTGAGTGAGTGAGTGAGTGAGTGAGTGAGTGAGTGAGTGAGTGAGTGAGTGAGTGAGTGAGTGAGTGAGTGAGTGAGTGAGTGAGTGAGTGAGTGAGTGAGTGAGTGAGTGAGTGAGTGAGTGAGTGAGTGAGTGAGTGAGTGAGTGAGTGAGAAAATAACTCAGCATATGTATGACATAAACGGATTGATACTACCCGGGTACGCAGACTTAAGTGGGTGGTTTTCTTAGTGTGTTACTTCCCAGAACATTTGACCTAAAGGACTAATCCATCAGGTAGTAGGGCAAGGTGACGAGATGCAGTTTCATGGCAGCCGGGGATCAACAATTGGTTCATACGTTACTTGTTCCTTCAGGATACTAAAACACATATCCATCATTGGTTTGGAATAAAAGTTTTACAACTTCCTCGTATCTAGAAACCTTGTTAAAAGACCTGACATTTGCTTTTCATCTTCTCAATCTTGAAACCAACAGTCAGTGGGATTTCTCTGGCAGTGGTTGTATACGCATGGCCATGTGAGAGCATTTGTAGAGCGAGAGCTGACGTTTCCCATGCTTGAGTTCGCTTTTCCCTTTATCAATTTTGTAAACAACAGTAATGCTGCGAGGTGATAGTGAGTAAGACTTCACTGTCAGTGGTTGTATGTACGTGATCACGTGAGAGTTCTTCGAGTGGGAGAGCGGACTCTACTCACCCTCGACCGTACCAAGTAATTTGGGTGCAAAAGCAAATATCATACGCAGATTCTTGCTTGAACCGTTATTAACAAAACAATGAGCTGTTTCGATTCGCTACTGTCTTGCTGAAGTCATTTCATTAATGGATTTTCTTTATTTGTATTTTCTTTACGAAATAGGTTACTTCTCTATATAGATGATTTTAGACTACTTAAACAATGTTATAAGTAGTTGAA